TTTGGGAAAAACGAAAGTTGAGTTTAAGCTTATAAAGGCTTTTTCAGTGGTGTATACAAAAAAATGTTTGTATCAGTCTAATGTGATTTTAGTGATATTTAAATTAAATGTTTTATCGTTGTCATTTATGTATCACCCTGGGATCCTTCTGGGTGATGGGCAGTTTATAAATGTAAATAATAATTTCACATTAATAAAACAAATTGACATGAAGTGTGTATTCAAATGGCTATTTTGTGACCAGATGTGCACATTTTAAATATGAATTTTATATACAGTCGTACCTAAACCCAGAAGTGAGTGTTTCGGTTTGCGAACGTTATTTGGAACCCGAACATCCAACATCTGCGGCTTCTGTTTGGCTGCAGGAGCTTCCTGCAGTCAGTCAGAAGCTGCGCTTTGGTTTCTGAACGTTTTGGAAGTCAAACAGACTTCTGGAATGGATAATGTTTGACTTCCAAGGTACGACTGTGTGTGTGTATATATATATCTCAAATTAATGTAGAAAAGAATTTGAATGGACTTATTAATGAGCATATAACACTGGCTAGAAATAAAATATCCACTCACCTCTACTTCTGATTGATTAAACACCCCCCCCACACCTGTTCAAATTGAGATTGCTGTGAATACAAACTACCAGCAGAGGTCTCATAGCACCATTATTCCACACTGACGCCAATGGCATTCTTAAGGACTGCACCATTTCAGACTGAAAGACAGTTGAAACTGCTTTGTGAACGCTGTGTTGTTTAAAGAATTAAAAAATCCCGGTGAGTGGAAAAGTAACATGTCAATGAGAAATATGCTAGCCCTTTTATTACAGGTTTACAGTTGTGTGGAAAAGGCTTTTTGTTGTTGAATATATATCTACGGCGAAGCATTAGAAACTGCTATCCCCCAACCTCCACCTTTGGTCTAAATTAGCAGGTTCATTCTACTCTCTCAGAACTGCGCCATCTCCCACTTCTGCTGCCTGCATACATCAGTCCTTGCATTACTCGAAGTAGTGCAGGTGCCGCTTCCCTCACGTGTTGCTGTGCTAACATGTGAAAGCTTGGCAACACCTGGTGCATGGTTACAACTGTGGTGGTGCTTGCCATTCATTTTAAGCGATCCAATGGGAAAGGCCCACATTCTTGCTCTTTGCCATGAGCTGCTGCACTTGTGCTACTGTGGTGAGATGGGATGAAGTGAAAGAAAGGCTGCTCGCTTGTCACTTCAGCAATATATATAGACTCTGATAGCCAATGTGAAATGCTTCACCTGCTCATTTTCTGCTCATTTTCTGCACAGGTGTTTAAGGTACAGAAGCCTTCAAGGAAAAGAAAGCTGACAGCCCCAGATCAAGGCTTCTGAAGCTGATGAAGTCAGTGATGGCCAGCGGCGTAGCGTGGGTTGTCAGAACCTGGGGCAAGGCAAGTAATTTGCGCCCCCTAACCCGGGGCAAGACACGTAATTTGCGCCCCCTAACCCCTAACCTGCCACCGCTGCCAGCTTCTTCTTGCTGCTGCCTGGTCTGGTCTGGTGTGGTTCTCTCCTGCGCTCAGCGCTGCGCTGGGCGGCCGCTGCACTGTCCCTCCCCCAGATAGTCCCTCGCTCTCTCTCCGCACCGCACGCCTGGCACCCACCCCTCCACAGTGGGCGGCGACCCAGCGGCTCGGATCGGATTCGCACAGCCAGCACTGCAGTGAGAGAGAGTGAGTGAGCCAGGTAGGGGCAGAGAGCTGCGAGTGCGAGCGCGCCCCCCCAGATGTTGCGCCCGGTGCGGCCAGCCCCCCCTGCACCCCCCACGCTATGCCACTGGTGATGGCAGCACACCCTTGAAATTAATTGACTACTTGCTTAATCACTCACCTGGCTGATATTATGAAATGTCTTAACACTATCTATACTCAGGCATGTAAGCTCTGTTTGTCTTCACGTCTTCACCTTGGGTTTCACAAGATATCGCTTGAGGAGCTTTTAGCAGCCGTCGTGTTTGCTCTTGAGCCTTCCTGTGATACTGCAATTCACCTTTGCTCATATTCAAATGGGAATGACATAAAAGGGTTTCATTGAGGTCAGCAACTTCAATGATTACTTCATTTTCCCAGCTGTCATTGCTGGCCCGTTGAATAATTTTGTAACACATAGATCTCAACAAACGAAGCAGCAGCAGGAGCAATTTTGCATCTCTTGCTGCTTGCAACTCTGGAGGGGCAGCAACATTGGAATTAACTATGTGGTTTAAGCTCCTAGATTGCCAGTTGGTGCCCCTGGCGAGCTTTTAAGCTGCTTGCCCAGGGCTTCCTATCAATAGGGCAGGTGTGCAGTGTTAAGACTCTGGACTTAATGGTCTTCTTGTTGGTGGGGATTCATGGACTTTTTCAGGGTCCTGTGCTAATGGCATCAAGGTCTCCTCCCAGTAAAGGTAGCAGAATTTGTGCTGGACCTTTCATTTTTAAAAGATCAACATGACAGTAGGCATCGTCTCTGTAACAGAGCAATCCAAAAGCATGACCCGAAAACATTGCACATCGCTTATGCCACATAGCTGGTAGCACTGCACTCAGAAGCACATGCCCCAGCCTGCCGCAGTATCACTCAGCTGTGATTCATATGAGATTCAGGATGAGGGGCACATCCAAGTGCTAACAGCAATCTTGTCTTTGTGATGTCATGCCTTTCCTAAGTTGAAATTGCCTACCAATTTCCTCTACTGTAATCTTGCAAAATTGTTTTAAATAGAGCTCTTGATCATGCTAAGTTTAACTGATTCCCCTGACTTCATTCCCCCACATGGAGGTAGATTTTAATCTCCAAACTGCATTTTAATTGAAGAGGTGTTGTATTCTGTTAGCCTCAGATCTATCAATTTCATTGGGTGAACCCAACCTCTAGTACTATGACAGAGGGGGTGGGGGAAAGCTTTGCTCTATGCACTCTTGGAGTAGCATTTATATTTTATATCCCCTATTTTATATCATTTATATCCCTTCCAGTCTTATTCCGTCCTTGAAACTTCACCCTCTATTCATATGGAAAGTGTTCCAACTCCTTGATCATTTTGATTGTCTTTTTCTGCACCTTTGTCAGCAGCAAGTTTTATATAATATTTAAGGCCTCAGTGATGCTAGAGGAAGGCAAAGATGTCTGGAACTTGATCCCATCAATGAATCATCCGTGGGGAAGCCAATCTACCTCAGAAGAGGCCATTTCCATCTGAGGTGGGTGTGTTGTGTATATCTTTAAGAGTCTGTATGAAGTAAATGCTGAAAAGCAAAGTCTCTCTCTCTCATGAACTGACAACCAGACAATATTCATCCTGCCAGCACCCTTTGCAACAGCGAAGCAAATGTTCTTGGATCGTTTGCTAACATTACAGCCAGCTAGTTAATCAGGTGTAACATGAAGCTTTGACATGATTTACAACATGCTGGTAGCTTGTACTGTAACTGCTTTGTACTGCTGTATGTATTGTATAATAGTGTTAAGCTGTCCTTGGACAAGGCTTCATTGTAAACATGCTATCTAGCTCAACTGGGATATCCTGTAAAAATATTATAACAAAAACAGATTCTGACATCACTGTAAAGAGCCAGTGTTCCCTCTGCCCAGGACTCAAAAAAATACACTCAGCTACTGTCTGTAAAGAACATGAAATGCAGTCATTTAACCCTGATAGCACTGAGCTGGTTGCCTTCTCAGAAAAATTAACTTCCAATTGGTTGGACCTTCAGCCCCCCCCCCCCCATCCACCACTGGATAGTTCTCTGGGACAATGCTGAACTTCCACCAATCAAATCTGAATGTTCCAGTCACTTCAAATCTCTGGAAAGGCCCTTAGCTGCACAATACAAGCGCCAATGTTGGCAAATGTACCAGAGTGTCAGAAAGAATAATGGCGAGGAAGCTAGCATTCCATGGGCTAAAAGTACATTGTGGAAGCAAAGCAAGACATTGTTTCAAAGTTATTAATTCACCAAGGAAGGTTGTTCCACTTCCCCAACAGTTTAATCTTCTCATAATTACATTGCTCCTTCGAATGACTTTCTGGCTAAAACTCAAATAGCCACCTTGGCCAAGGATCATGAAATCCAGTGTCAGTAAAGTCATATATTTCCTTTATTAGGATAGATTGGCTGAATTCCTTAAATTCTAGCCCCTACATCCCATCATGTTATATCCCATTTCTGCCCCATTCATACCTCATAACAACTTGGAATGACAAGGCACTGCTGTATCTGTCTGTAATAACTGTTTCCAATGCAGCTTCATCAGCCTGATGCATTGTGATGTTGTCGTAGGTCAGCTCAACATGCCAACGCTTGTTGCAGTGGATCACGAGATTGCATTTGTGTGGCGAGTTTGTATGAAATTCTAAGTATTCATTGGCAGTCACATAGAATCATGTTGAAAGGGACCCTGAGGGTCTGTGTTTCATTTTGGGCAATGAGGAACAGCAGAGACTGGTGTCTTTATAATATATAACCTAAGCCTAGGATGGAGGGATCCACAGCATTTATACCTCAAGAGGTTCTGCCTTTCTCAATAAGAGTAGCATTGGATTCAAACAGACCCTATCCATGGCTCTCTGATTCTCTCTCTCCAGCCCATTACTTCCTTCTCTGTTGCATAACTCATAACACTCAGCTATTCTAAAACCCATGGCTTCCCTTTGTCTGTAGAGTGAAAGGGGCCTCACCTATTTGTAGCCTCACACTGAATTCCTTTGATGCTTTGTGTTCTAATGGCTCAGTTACCTCATGCAGGACGCCAGCCTGACTTAATTAGTTCTTAACACAGGCTTCCTCAACCTCGGCCCTCCAGATGTTTCGAGACTACAGTTCCCATCATCCTTGACCACTGGTCCTGCTAGCTAGGGATCATGGGAGTTGTAGGCCAAAAACATCTGGAGGGCCAAGGTTGAGGAAGCCTGTCTTAACACATGCCAATTTCCTGGGATTTAGAAGTGTCTAATACACATTAAGATGTATTAAGCTAGTTTTAGAATTTAATTAAGGCTGGTGTGTTAAAACTGGTTGTTAGACCCATGTGTTAAGATACATGGGTCTAACAACCAATTTTAACACACCAGCCTTAATTAAATTCTAAAACTAGCTTAGTCTGAAATTTAGGGTGTCTTGCACAGGGTTTTTGCTGCAAAACAACTGCAACAGTTTGGCACTGGTTTGGAGGGGATCCCTAATTATTCATAGTTAATGTTAGGTAGGAACCCAATGTATGAAGTATCAGCTGCTCAGTTTGTGGGGAGCTTCAAACCAAATACTTCAAACCATCTAATAGGTATGTATGGTTCCATAATCATAGGTTAATATTTTGTTAACATCAAAAGTCAAGGCTAGGGTGGGAGTGAAGACACCCACACCCACACACACACCTGACTTCTAAAGTTGGTAGGATGCACTCATCGCCTTCTTCAACTCCCATAATCGTGGTTTGTCCACCCACGCTTGGGTAGGCTTGCAACCTTTGTGCAATACAAACTTTTCCACATCATGGTGGAAAGTTATAGAGTTCAAGTTATAGAGTTCAATTAGAGTAGACTAACTGCTTGGTCTTAAGCATATCTATTTAAATGTAACTCTCACTGATGTCAATGAGGCTTCCTTCCATGTAAATAGTATTACAAAAGTTGGGTGCCATCCCCACTCTATGCAAAGGTTCCAAGGGATTTCAGTCAGGATCTGTGTTCCTTTGGAGAATTGAGACACAGCAGAGACTGTTGTAGGTTTAAGGAATATGGTTTATTCACCTAATTACACCTTTAGTCTGCATGGAGGGAGTCCAGATCTTACAGCATGGTTATTTCAAGAAGGGCTTGTCCCCCACAGCAGTGCAGCCGTGGAGTCCAAGGCATCTCTCCCAGCCAGCCTTCAGCTGGTCTGCCCAAGATGGATCCCATTCTTTCTTCTTCCCCCTGCTTCCCAGAACACCCTGCTAAAAACTTTCTTTTCCTGTCCCCTCATGCGCCCAACCCCCAATCTCTGTTTACACCTCAGGGCCAGAAGGAGGACAATTCTCTTTCATTGCCAGTGACTCTCAATGGCCCTGTATTCCTTCTTGATGGGCCTAGTTTGGCCAGGTCGTTTTGCATAAGTTAGTTTAGGAATTCCTCTGGAGCTTGTATTTCTCCCTTCACATTCCAAATAATCAAAATCCTACCATTTATTAATTTCTAGGGTTTAGGAGGATTCCATCCAAATCTATAACAATAGATATTGCTACAGTGGTACCTCGGGTTACATACGCTTCAGCTTACATACGCTTCAGGTTACAGACTCCGCTAACCCAGAAATAGTACCTCGGGTTAAGAACTTTGCTTCAGGATGAGAACAGAAATCGCGTGGCAGCGGCGGGAGGCCCCATTAGCTAAAGTGGTGCTTCAGGTTAAGAACAGTTTCAGGTTAAGAACGGACCTCCAGAATGAATTAAGTACATAACCAGAGGTACCACTGTACTTTATAGCCCAATCCTATGCAAAGTTAGGCAAGCCTCTAGCTGTTGAAATAAACATGCTTAGATTTGCCTAATACCACAAGACCTTGTGGTTGGACCCACATGGAGTTGCAGCATTAACACAGGAACCAGGAGTTTTTTGCTCTGAACAAGCTACATAGCAGGCAGGAATCAGTTCAAGAAGCTGGGGTTCTCCTTGCTGAAACTTCCATCTTCTTGCCACCAAAGTGCCACCCTTTAATTATTACTGCCTGTTGGCAGCTGTTCAAGGCACGGCACTGCTGCCCATAAAAAACAGTGGCAGCCTTCCAGCATGCTTCAGAATGTTATGGGATGTTGCCCCAATGCCCGTGTAAGGGAGGAGTGGATTTGCTGGAAGTGCTACAATAGAGGTGTATTTGTCAGCCAGGGTCATAGATTTTATTCACAAAATTTCCCTCCATGTGCATGAGGCATTCCGTTTTCAGAACAAAATTTCCCTTTGGCTGCCTGCTGAATATATTGGAGTAGGCTTGGTGAACTAAAAGTGATAGTCTCCAAAACGTCCGCCTGTAAAATGCTCAGGGCAGGTCAACAAGTACTCTTGCTCACCTTTACAACAAAAGTGGCACCAATATTAGCTTCTCTTCTGTGGCAAATGACAACAAATGACCAGGTTGCCTGAAAGGCTGCCTACCATTGTTAAGAGCTAAGGTCACTTAGGTCATGGGGGAAATTTAACTTGTAGCACCACACCCTACAGAGTAAAATGGGGTGGTGACCTGAAAATAGGAAGTTTCTGTCATTGCTCCTGAAGTGTGGAATACCCTTCCCTATGCCATAGGTGAAATATCATCTATCAGTCGCTTCAGACAACTTGCCAAAATGTACCTTCATGCTCAGGCCTTCTTAGGCACCGGTTATTCCCGAATTCCTATATTTACTTGTCAAGCTGTTTTACTCTTTTTATTGTACAGTGGTACCTTGGTTCTCGAACGTAATCCGTTCTGGAAGTCTGTTCGACTCCCAAAACAGTTTGAAAACCAAAGCGCTGCAGCTTCCGATTGGCTGCAGGAGCTTCCTGCACCCAATCGGAAGCCGCGTCGGATGTTTGGCTTCCAAAAAACCTTCGCAAACCAGAACACTCACTACCAGGTTTGCGGCATTCGGGAGCCGATTTGTTCAGGAGCCAAGTCGTTCGACTACCAAGGTACCACTGTACTGTTTTCTTGTTTTTATATTTATTCTGTATGCTGCTAGGGATTTTAAAAACATTAAGCAGCGTAGAAATGCTTCTAAATAAATAAATAGTTGGGTGGGAGCAATTTTCACCAGTCTGGGTCAAGGAGCAAAGTTTTGGTGCTGGGTTGCCATCAGTATGCCTGATGACACCTAATCTGCTATCTGTTGATGCGATGGCCATGCTGACTCGGCCTCCAGACACACGTGACCAGATGTTTGGAAGCTGTGGCTGGATGGTTACGTGGGAGCCGGTTGAAGCTAAATCCTTCGAAGACAGAGGTCCTGTGGCTGGGACGGGGCAATATGGGATTGGGGGGGCAACTCCCATCTCTTGCGGGGGCGCAATTAGTGCCAGCACCGTCCGTTAAGAGTTTGGGTGTAATCTTCGACACCTCCCTTTCCATGGAGGCGCAGATTGCAGCTATAACAAAGGCGGCATTTTTCCATCTCCGCCAAGCTAAGCAGTTGGCTCCTTACCTCTCTCGCCCTGACCTAGCCACTGTGATCCATCGCGACGGTCACCTCCAGATTGGATTATTGTAACTCGCTTCTACGTGGGTGCTGCCTTTGAGACTGACCCAGAAATCTCCAGCTGGGTGCAGAATGCTGCAGCGAGACTCCTTCACGAGGTCTTTGCTGTGAGATCACATTCACCCGGTGCTATACCAGCTGCAACTGGCTTCCGGTGGAGTACAGGATCAGGTTTAAGGTGCTGGTTTTAACCTCTCTAAAGCCCTATACGGCCTAGGACCCTCAGTACCTACGGGACCGCCTCTCCTGGTATGCCCCACAGAGAAACTTATGGTCTTCAAATAAAAACATCTTGAAGTTCCCAGGCCACAGAGAAGTTAGGCTGGCCTCAACTAGAGCCAGGGCTTTTTCGGCTGTGGCTCCGATGTGGTGGAACACTCTGTCACAAGAGACCAGGGCCCTGCGGGACTTGACATCTTTCCACAGGGCCTGCAAGACAGAGCTGTTCCACCAGGCCTTTGGCCAGGGCACAGCCTGACTCCCTCCCTCGGCAATCTTCGCGGAGCTCTGGCCCAATGGTTGCCAGTGGCTTGAATTAATTAATTTTATAATGAATGATTTTAGAGAGTTGTTTATGCTGTACTTTTGTACTGTTTTATTGTTGTTAGCCGCCCTGAGCCCGGCTTCGGCTGGGGAGGGCGGGATATAAATAAAATTTATTATTATTATTATTAAATAAATAAATAGTTGGGTGGGAGCAATTTTCACCAGTGTGGGTCAAGGAGCAAAGGGTACCCTGTTGTACTTGCTGGGGTCCTAATCTAGATCTCCCTGTGTGATTCCTAAGATACAGGCCATTTCTTTAACACAATGTGCAGGTTGAGGTGGCCAGCATCCAGAAATGTGGGGATCTGATAAAAGCAAGGAGAGCTGGATGTACATGGTGGAAGTGTAGACACTTAAGATGTTAACTAGACCAACGCAGAGGGAAAGCAAGTGTTCTGAGCCCTTAGTTAGAGGTTTTATCTCAGAATACATGGTTCTTTTGGATGCCCTCTGTTAAGTTGTGGGTGAACATATTAGACGACACAGCGATTCTTCAAACAGCTCAGGCCAGAACAGAACTGAGAACAGAACTGAACTGAAGGGTTCATCCAGCCTGCTTATATAGAGCTCCACTACAACGCAACAATAACCATTTTCTGTAACTATCCAATCACTGAATGTCGCTTTCAATCCCTTATTTGCATATGTGGACCTGAGTGAAAACTAGCTACAGTATTCCCCTGCTGGCCCAGGGTGAGAACTTCAGTACATAACACCCTCCTTGCCAGAAAAAAATGTGCAATTCTTCTCTCGGAGGCTGCCATTTGAAGTGAGACTGTGGAGCAGCAGTCAATGAAGCAGCCACTGTGTCTTAAAATACATTTTGGAGCCTTTCCCATAGACACTGGAACAGGGGCCTACATGTAGGCCAGGTTGGCCTCCGCCACGGATGGAGGTCCTGTGGGGAGGGCACAATGTGCCTCACCAATTTGGCTCAGAGTGGCTAGGAGCCTGCCCGCTGGTCTGCACACTCCCTGGGCCCAGGGAAGTGCTGGTATAATTCCTTGTCAAGGGTGCAAGGGAGCCTAGGTATGCCTCTGCACTGTAAACAAAAGTGCAGCCATCCTGGACCTTGTAAAACTAGACTACAATCTTATTGTGAGTTTCCTGAGATTTCCTCTCTTTGCAGGCGGCTTAAATTTGTCCGGGCAAAGGGTTCAGCCCCAGCATAGCAGCCAACTCCTAGGGGCCAAGGTCCCTTCGGCCCCCAAAATAAAATATCTGAGGCAGCTGCCCCCACCCCCCAGTTGATCAGCATTCCAATGGGTGCGTGCCACATATTGTGAATAGTTATGCAGGGGTTGGGCTTACCTGGGCTCCCCACA